TCAGGCAATCTTCCTGCCTTGGTCTCCCAAGGAGCTGGGATTACAGGCATGAGCCACCACACCTGGCTCATTGTGTTTTCAATGTGCATTTCTCTAATAATGAGTGCTGCTCTCTCTTTTTGACATGGATTTCCAAGTCTTGGCTCAGCCAAGGTGAAGCAGGTCGAGCTCTTGCTCTCCTCCATCTCCCTCGCCTGAGGCCTGACACTCGGCAGTTGCTCAGAAACTGAAGGAATGATGTGACTTTAGGCTGAGCAACTGAGCTGGTGCGGGAGCAGCCTCCCACCACTGGAGGTGTGTGCAGGGCAGCCAACGACCACTCCAGCCTGGCTAGCAGGGGCCACCTTGGCTGTCAGTCAGCCCTTCCTCATGCAGACCTGAACTCTGCCTCCCTGGGACAACGGTCAGCCTGGGGTGCTCATTCAGTGAGCATTTTCCAAGAGTCTCTCTTGGGCCAGGCCCCGGAGAGAAGCGGAGCACCTGCAGGAGGGCGGCAGGATGTCTAGAGCACCTGCCATGGAGGCCGGCGGCTGTCCCACGGGCTCAGCTTAACACGGCTCCTTCTGAATCCCCTGCCTGCGCTTCAGGAAGGACTGTCCCTGGTGGCTCCCACCACCCAGGGATCGCATGAGTCTGGGGCCCTACCAGTGGCCCGTCCACCACCCCCAGGCCCTGCAGTCTCCTCAGTTGTGTTGGGCCTGGCCTGCCCCCACCCTCCTGCTCTGTTTGCTGAAAGCAGGGCTACCCAGCAGGTGAGAGCCCACCTCAGCCTCAGCTGGATCTCAGGTGGCCTCAATGGTGGGAGGCCAGTGGGGGCCGGCAGCCATGCCAAGTTCACAGGCGCTCTTCTTCCCACCCCTTCCTCGCCACAGTGGCCTCACAGACCGCGGGCCCAGACCGACAACTGTCTCTGTGACCAGCTCCTCTGAGGAAAGAGGAGGCCGAGATGCCCAGCCCAGGGGCCACTCCAGCTGACTCCCAGCCCTGCCTGGCTCCCTCCCGGCATTTACCTGCTGGCCTGGCTGTGCCCTCTTCACCTCCCCACCTCCGCAATGGCTTCCTAGAACCTTCTCACTGCACCTATTCAAACCACACCAGGTTAAAAGGAGACCCTGTGTAAAGAAACATGAGTCCCACCAAATGACAGAGAGGGAGCCCCCCTTCCCAGATGTCTGAACGCAAAGCTGCCAGCCAATGTCAGAAATGGAATGTCAGCTCCAGCGCTCACCTCCCTGGCTCTACACACCGAGACTTCTGACTTCAGAGTCTTTCTTCAGCACAATGGTCCGGCACGCTAGACCTTCCACAGCCGCTGACCAGGAGCCTTCCAAGTCCAAAGGTTCTGTTCTTCCTTCCAAACCACCTCTTAGCAGCTGAGCATCCTGAGAACCTTGTTCTCGCCTTCTCTCCTCCCTTGGGGCCACAACTGATCAGCCAGCCTTCAACAGAGCCATCCAAGTTGCACATTTAGGGAAAAAACGGACAAGCCAAGTACAGACGTCTGCCCTTCAGACGCTCACTGGGGGGGAGTGGCTGCACAGCTACTACCTGAACCACACACATCCATCTTGCCACGAGGACGTTGTGAGCTCTCCCCGTGTCTTCCGGAATCCAGATAAGCTAGGCCGACAGCATGCCTCTCACTACCAATCTAGTCATCCTGCTAGAAGAGGAACTGGGGTGTGTGGGGTGCTTTTAAAACATGTCCACCAGGCCGGGTGTGGTGGCTCACGCTTATAATCCCAGCTGCTTGGGAGGCTGAGGTGGGAGGATTGCCTGAGCCTGGGAGTTCAAGACCAGCCTGGACAACATAGTGAGAGCTCGTCTCTGCAAAAAAATTAACTGGGTATGGTGGTGCACACAGGTAGTCCCAGCTACTTGGGAGGCTGAAGCGGAAGGATCACCTGAACCCAGGAGGCTGACGCTGTGGTGAACTGCGATTGTACCCTGCACTCCAGCCTGTGTGACAGAGTGAGACCCCAACTCCAAAAATAAAATGACATAAAACATGTCCCCCGGTTCTTTCATACACCTCCCCCATCAAGAGGTGGAGGCTGATTCCCCTCTCTTGAATGGGCTGGCCCTAGGGACCTCAATGCTGCGGAATGTGTGACTTTATGTAATTTACGAGGCTAAGTTATAAAGCAAGATGCTGTTTAGCTGGCTGTTTCCTGAACTGCTTGCTCTTGGAACTCACCCGCCATGTTGTGAGAATGCCCAGGCCACTTGGAGGGGCCGCGTGTAAGTGTTCTGGTGGGTGGCCCACACAAGCCTCGGAGATGACGCAACGCCAGCCAGCTCCTGACTGCCGCTGCACGGGAGACCCTCCCACCAAGCAAGAACCACCAAGCTGAGCCCAGCTGGCCCCAGGACCAGGACAATGAATAGGAAATGATTGTGTTGTTTTATGCCATGATGCTTGGGGTAGTTTGTTTCTCAGAGATTACAGGAACTGTTGCTATGACAGCGTTCTGAAAGGTTTCATTCCCTGTCTTCACCTAAGTCAGTCAACCTACAAGACTGCTTTAGGATTAGGAGGAGTCCTCCTGGTTTACAGTTTCAGAAATCTGTATCTCTCTGCTCCTCTCCACTTTCGAGAACCTAAACCATCTTTTGTGTGTCTAGTCTGTGCGTGAGTATGGTTTGTATGTATGTGTGCAGCTAGTATGTGTTTGTGTGTGTCTAGTTTGTGCATATGTGCCTGGTTTTCTGATTCTTTCCTCGCCGTTTCCCCAAGATTGTTGAAAACCGTCGTGAGCATGCCATGAAGTCCTCTCAGCCCCCTTGGGTGCAACTCATAAGGAGACCAGAACTCGGCTTAAGAATAATGCCGTCGCTAACAACTGTAGTGTACGGTCTCTGAGCGGATAGATGTCAGTGACGTGCCAGCACTTCCCAGGCATCGACGCAGCCCCGCCGCATGACCCCATGCAGCAAGTCTCACTTGACGGAGAAGCGGAGGCACGGAGAGGGTGAGTGGTTTGTGCGGGTCACACAGCTCCGAAAGGTCAGACTCCTTTCTGCCGCTGGTCTTTTTCCTGCCCCCTCGCCTGGGTTAGGCAGGGGCTGCCCTTTCCTATTCAAGATCTTCTTTGGTCTGAGGACAGCTGAGGCCAAATAAAAGCAACATCCCTCGATAACTGCTTCTTGGCTCCCCCACCCCCCTGTGTGGTCTGCATGTTTGTCTCCCCACAGTTCATATGTCAAAACACTAACCCCTGAGGTGATAATCTTGGGTGTAGGACCCTTGGGGTGTGATGAGGTCATGAGGACAGAACTCTCACAATGGGGTCCGTGCCCTCCCACCAGAGGCCCCAGAGAGCTGTTCACCCTCCCACCCCTCGCTCTGTGAGGACACAGCCGCAAGGTGCTGTCTGTGACCTAGGAAGCAGACCCTCACCGGACACTGAACCTGCCAGTGCCTTGGTCTTGGACTTCCCGGCTCCAAAACGGTGAGAAATAAGTGTTTGTTGTGTACGAGCCACCCCTGGCATGATTTTGTGACAGCAGTCCAAACAGGCTAAGACACACACTATGCCTTGGCTACGCAGCAGCCAGCCTTGTTCTGAATGTTTCTGGAAATGCCTTCGGCATCTTCACGCAGCCTCAACCCGAGCCTTCAGGCCGAGCCTTCCTGACAGCGCCTCCCCGCCCTGCCCTGCCTCTGCCTTTCTCCCTGGGATTGCTGTTGATGGTCTTCCAGGACTGCCACGCCCTCTTCCTCCTTGAGTCTCAGGTGATGGGTGCCCAGTGGCTTTTCTCCCTGCACCTGTCAGCATCTGCCCCTCCTAATGCCCACAGGCTCCTGGATCTGCTCCTCCGCTGAGGCCTCAGGTGCCAGGGTCGCGCCTCCTGTCATTGGGACCAGGCAGACACTCTGACAGGGCCAAACTTCAGCTCCCTGGGGTGCGATGGCATCAAGACTCCCAGAACACCAAGGGATCTGTGTGGGAGTGTCCGAACTCTGTGTTCTGGGAGTGCAATCACAGGTGGCCCCAGGTGTGCATATGAACAACACCTCTGGCGTGTTTCATAATTTGCTTCACGGTTCACAACATTCTCTAACAAACACACTTTCATGAGCTCCTCCTATCAACCCTCGAGGTGGCACTGTCATGCTCATTTTTTTTTGAGAGGACAGAAAACCTGAGGGGCTTGCCTCGTCTTCATTTTTAAGGTGAGGTGACTGAGGCCTAAGGCACAAACAGATTAGCCCACTATCACCCCGCTAGTAAAGAGCAGAGCAGGGGCTCCAACTCTTGTCCTGGAACACCTGACCCAGGAAGGTCTTGCTGTGCTGTACTGTACAGGCATTCCAGAATCTGCTCTTGATCCTCTCACACAGCCTCTAAGACCTTAAGAAAGTCAGGCCCCTTCCTGAATTGGGCTGTGTTCTTCTTGCGTGGGAGACCTACCTCTGATCATCTCACTGGAGCTGAGCCCCGAGATGCTCACCGGGTTGGCATCACCTGGTTGCAAAGCTTGAGTCGAAAGCTCTGAGGCAGACTTAAGCCGGCACTTCCTTCTACAGGAGCCTAAGATCACTCCTGGCTGGCCTTTGTCTATGTGGTCCTACTGGTAAACACAGCAGAGGCAGCACTGGGGTTGCCCACAGGGTGGGGTGTGATGGGACAGAACGGGGTTGTGGCGGAGACTCCTGTTCCCCAAACCCCTGCCTTCATTATTTCAACAGCCACCGGCACCATGCAAACGTTCCTGGGTTTCTCTTTCTCCAAGAGGGCCCCCCTCTCTAACTTGTGTCCCAAAGAAACTCACAACAGGGCCTTGTCCCCCTGACCCCCTGACCCCCTGCTGCCTGGCCCATCCTTCCTCCACCCACCAGTGAAGTCCTCTTGTTGCAGCTTTCACTGTGTGCCTGCTCCCTGGCCCTGGCTCCTCCCCACTTTACCCCTATGGCCCCACCTGCTCCTCCCAGCATCTCCTTTCCCCACTCCACCCCTCCCGAGCCTGCCCCTCCACCTGTGTGTTTCCTGTTTTACCTGAATTTGTAGTCATTGGGCAGGAAGTAGCCCATCTTGCAATCCTGTCGAGCTCGGAAGATCTGTTTCAGCAGATTCTGCTTGCTGAAGCCGTATCCATTCAAAACACGACCTCCAAAAAGGAGTTTTCCCCCAGCAAACATCTGTTGACAGATGGGAGGGAAACAGTAGGAGAAACCCTCAATGCATCAGCATGGCCATACCCGCTGTTAAGACAGGCAAATCTGGCATCCATAAGCCTCTCAGACCTGGGGCTGGGAGGCAGGCCTGGGGACTGGGAGGAAGTGCTGTCCTCGCAGTTGCCCAGTGAGGTGTGGCTGCTCCTGACCCCCACCCAGGCACCCTAAGTTGGAGGGCAGCCCCTCCATTCCAACCTTTGCCCCTGCTCGGGGCACCAGCTCAAATGCCACTTCACACGCAAGCCCCCTCCTTCCCTGGCCCTCTGGCCCCAGCCCAGAGGGCCCCACCCCACCCCCTACAGCTGTCTGGCCAGCTCTGCCCTGCAGGCACCATTCAGCTATTCCAATGGAACGGAGCCCCTTGAGGGCAGGGCCCTTGTAGCCCACCCACAGGTCAGTCTCCAACAAGGAGACACCCATCCCAGGAGTTCTGTGCAAGGAAATTCATCACAGCATCATTTGTTATGGCAAAAAACCAGAAATAACCTAAATGTCCAGTAGAAGCAGCACCAAGAGATACAATGACAGAATCATATGCAATGGTTAAAAATCAGGTGTTATGAACTATTTGAAGACATGGGGAAAGACTCCTGATATTTTAATTTAAAAAGCAGAACCTCAAAGAATATATGCAGAAAAAGTCTGCAAAGGCCAGACACCAAAATGTGAGCATGGAGTGAACTTGGCAAGTACCAGGACATACTGGCTGGATGAACAAATGAGACTCCCTGGGCGACATGATGATGTAATTATTCTCTAAATTGCATTTTCCAAGTTGTCTATAATGAACATGTATACGTTTTTAGTTTATGCTGTTTTTAGTGTAAAGTAACTTAAAAACAAGCAGATGAAGAGAATTTGATTCTTTGGGTTGGACGTCACCCTTCAGCCTCCTGGACCCAGGACACGTAGGGTTGGGCTGTGTGCTAGAGGACTCCTGGTCAGTCTTGCTTGCTGGTCCTCCCTTCTTCTCCCCGCCATCTTCTCCCCGCATTCTTCTCCCCCTCCTTTCTTCTCCCCCTCCCTTCTTCTCCCCCTCCCTTCATCTCCCTGTGGCAGAGGGACTAAAAACAGTTAAAATGATTCCCCTTCCCTTCCTCTCCTTCTTCCTCCGTCCCACACTTATGAATCTGCAGGGGCAAAGGTCACTGAGACTGGAGGGCAGGCTGTCGACCCCCTCCCTGGGGTCCCGGCTCACCAGAATCATCCCCTGCACCGCAGAGTGTTTCTTCACCATCAGGGGCGGGTCCTTCTGTAGGGGACCGTCCAGGTCATACTGCAGCAGGCGGTAGGGGTCATGCCGGCACTGCCAAGGCAGAAATGTGAGAGCTGGTCACCCCCATGCCAGGAAGATGCACTTGAGCAACTGCATTCTTGGCCAGGTCGGGCTCCCCTTTGAGTCCTGGAGCTCTGTACATGCCCCCTTCCACACTCCTGCTCAAGGGCTCTTCAACCCTGTAGACACACCTCCCGTGACTGTCCAGGAATGCCTGGATCTATTTAGAGCCTGCGATGAGGGAGAGCCATTACTGAGATGACTGCCGCTGCATGTGAGACCCACTGGTTTGGCTTTCTGGGAGCCGCAGAATATGGCTTCTCCCTCACCCTGGGAGAAGCCCTATGGAGGTTTGAAGATGAGAACTGTGTTCCTGGGTGAACCCATTTCCAGGCTTATGAGTCTACTTTTTGCAACCTAAAGAATTCCTCACGCCGGGCTCGATGGCTCAGCCTGTAATCCTGCGCCTTTGGGTGAGTAGATTGCCTGAGCCCGCGGGTTCGAGACCCGCCTGGGCAGGCGAGACCTCATCTCTACAGTAAATCAAAAAACCAGCCGGGCGTGGTAGCACATGCCTGTATTTCCAGCTACTTGGAAGGCTGAGACGGAAGGATTGCCGGAGCCCAGCAGGTCGAGGCTGCGGTGGCCGGAAGTGGCCACTGCACTCCAGTCTGGGCGACTGAGTGAGACTCCAACTTAAAAAAAAAAAAAAAGAATTCCTCTGCCCATAACCCCCTGCTGGCAGCCCCTTATTACCCTTCCCAGTCACTGACTCTAGTGAGAGGATCTGAACTGAGCCCACACCTCAAGATAAGGTCTAGTCAGTTCAGAGTAAAGCTGGGGTCTTTCCCCCCTCTCTTTCTGGATGCTACAGATCTATCAATACAGCCAACTGCTGCCTTCTGGTTTTATCTATCTTTTGGCTCCAGGTTCCTGCGCCATCCTGCTGGGTCACACTGATCTCTCCATCTACAGTGTGAGCCCCAGAATCACACCTGATGTTCTAGTTGTCAGGGAAAGAGAATGTCAGGGAGCGTTCCTCCCTTAACCAAAGACACTCTAATCTGACACCATACTCCAAGTCTGTCTGCCAGGGTGACTCCTTCACGGGCTGCAGCCATCTCAGGCCAGACTCTGTCTTCACTCAGTCTGTTAATGGTCGGGCTGGGCCACACATGCATTCCTATTACTCAGGGACAATTATCAGTGAGCAACGAAAGGCCCCAAGATAAGTTAAAGTCAACTCTAAATTCTCACATGAGCGGGGATTATACTTGTCCTTACATGGATGGGCACAGAGCAGGTACTCAATAAATGCTCACTGGGTTGGACTAAATTGGAAGTTAACCCTAGAAGATAAGTGTGTTCTGCTGCAGGGAACTAGTCCCAAGGCATGTGGCTGACTCTGTGCTGTCTTGGACTGAGATCGTGACATGGCTACTGTTCTCTTCTCAGAAAGGAATGCTGAGCTCCTGGCTGGACCCAAACTCAAGGATGGGCACGAGGGGTCAAGGAAGTGGCACTCCTGGGAGGAGGATGTCCACACACACCCAGGTGCATGTAAAAACCTAGAACTCTACAGCAACAAAGGGGAAACAGGCAAAGACAAGGGATTCTAGGAGGCATGTGGGCCAAGAGGGCTTGACAGAAGTTCCCATGTAGATACGCAGCTCACAGGGTCACCTACCATCTCCTGCTCTAGTTGGTCTACGGAAAGGGCCAGCCCTCAAACTGTGCTGACACTGAAGAGAATAACTGCAAATTCAGAGGATGACGAAGGCCTGGGACTTAGGAACATCTTGGCTTTGCCAAGACGAGTGGGTGGGAGTGGGCTCTGTGAGCCCTAAGACCCCCTCTAGATGTCAGCCACCATGAACTGGGACTTCAAGCAGCGTTTCACCCCCACCACCTTTGCATAGGCACGGGCTCTGCCAGGGACACTCATACGCCTGCCAAGATCCTGCTTATCCTGGGAGGCGCCCCTGACCCCAGGAGGCAGCAGGCACACATTCCCAAGTCCTGCACGCCCAGAGCTGCTCTCACAGCCTCGCTAGCTGTGCTGTGGTTGCTGAAAACTCCTCCAGGGCCTGGCCTGTATCTAAGTCACGTTGGGTGCCTGGAACCTGGGACGAGGCCAGCACACAGTGGGTGTGCAAGACAGTCTACAGACACCTACTGAGTCCTGGGGATGTGGTTGTGAGAATTGCCTGTTTTATGTTCATACAAATAAGTAGTCACAAACTGGGAGCAAAGGAGAGTGTCCCGGCCTTCTCCTACAGGTCGGGAGAGGCACCCCACCCCCGTGAGGTGACCTTCATCTCCAGACAGGAGGATGAGTGGGAAGGAGAGAAGCGGGGGAACCTGCAGGCAGTGGGGCAGTGCGGGCAGAGGTCCCGGAAGAGGACTGAAGTGCCTGTCCTAGCACTGTGGGGTCTTCCCAGATTCTCCCTCTCCCTCCCTTCCCCTCTCCATGGGCCTGCCTCTACCCTCACCCTCGGCCCTCCTGCTGGGCAGGGACCCACCTGGATGCAGGGTGAGCCTCGGCCCTGCTGGCGGTGGCTGTAGAGCGTGTCCAGCAGCCACTGGAGCTGTGCCGTGCCGGCGAGGTTCTGGCTCGAGACGATCCCAAACACGAGCACCTGGCTGGGGTCCCGGGGTGCCAGCAGGAAGCGCTCCAGCTCCACATCGGACACCAGGGGCGCCTTCACGATGCACCTGCAGCCGGTGCGGGTGTCCTCCTTGCGCAGGAGCTTCCGCAGCACCAGCGGGCAGTCGGAAAGCGAGGCCGCCCACCTGGCAGGCCCGCAGGGCTCGTGAGCCTTCCCCCTGCAGGGAGGAGCACAGAGCGCAGCCTCAGCAGCGGTGGCCCCCAACTCACAGTCCCCGGGTCTCAGATGGGCAAAGGATCCCTACGGAGCCTGAGCTCCCAGGAGGTTCTTGCCTGGCTCCCGCTACCAGTGTGTGGCACCACCCGGATGTGGCTCCTAACCTCTCTGGGCCTCCGTTTCCTCGGGTGCAGAACGGGAATCGCTCACTCATTCACACATCCATTGGGTCAGCAAACTCTTTGGCGTCATCCTGGACTCCTTTCTCTCACACCGCATCCAGTCTACTTGCAAGCCTGTCTACGCTCTTGACAGACATGGGATCCCATGGCTTTTCTGACCCCTCTACTCCCACCAGCATTGCCAAGCACCATCATTTCTTGCCTGGATGCCTGCCAGCGTTTCCTCATGGCCTCCTGCTTTCTCCTCCTCTGGCCTCTCTTCAGTCTGTCCTCCTCACAGCCCACCCAGGCATCCTGCCAGGACCTAAATCGCACTGTGTCATGACTCCTGTGGACACCTTTGGCAGCGTTCTGCCTTTTACAGAACAAGAGCCCAAGTCCCTGCACCGCCCTTCAAGGCGGTGTAGGACCTGGCCTCTGTTTTCCATCCTCCTCCCCTCCCACGCTCCAACATTCCCACCTTTGCTCACTGCACTCTGGCCACACTGGCCGCTGCTCATCCTCCAACCGCGGGGCCTCTGCTCCTGCTGTCCCTTCTGTCTGCCATGCTCTTCTCCCAGACAGCCACTCAACTCACTCTCACTCCTTTGTTCAAATGTCACCTTCTTTGACTTTCTGAGCAGCCATTTCATCCTTCCACCCCCAACACTCTTTCCCTCCCTTGCCTTATTTTCACCATAGCACTGCTCACTATCTAGCATAGTGTATCTTTTACTTATCTGTTTTTTATTATTGTACTTCTCTGTCCTACTAGAATGCAAGTTCCATGAATTCATGAACTTGGAGCATTTTGCTCAGTGGAATAAAGGAACAGCATTTGGTAAATAGTACAGATTCAGTAGAGATTCAATAAATAGTCAAACAAATCTTTGGTGGGCACCTGCTATGAGTCAAACACTGTACTGGGTTGTTGTGAGGGTTGTTATATCTAGATGGTAATAAGCACCACTCAGATAAAAAGTACTGCTATGATTTTATCCCTTCTGCTGCTTTACATCGTGTTGAGTGTCTTACAGCGCACACACCCTTGGAATAGACATTGTCTTGGTTAATTTTGTAATAACCCTGTGGAATATGTAGGGCAGAAACTAGTATTGCCATTTGTGGACCAGAAAACAGAAAGCTCCCATGGGCTTGAGCTTAGTTAAGTGGCAAGGGCTAGGATTAGAAACCACAGCATTCCAAAACAAGAGCCTTGCAGGTAATTTTCAACTCATCATCTTTTAGAAGCTATTTAATACTGATAAATACATGCTGAACAAACTTGCTAAGAAAATCTCTTATTCAAGCGCCTGTAGTTCCAGCTACTTGGAAGGCTGAGGCAGAAGGATCGCCAGAGCCCAGCAGGTCGAGGCTGCAGTGGCTGGGAGCAGCTACTGCACTCCAGTTTGGGCAACAGAGTGAGACTCCAACTCAAAAAAAAAAAAAAAATGTCCCCATGTATGCCAGGGAACCTAATACCAGGTTTGATACCATGTTTAGAAAAGGCATGAGAACACCCTAAGCTTTCACCTCTGGCTGACCTTTGGGCTCTGTGCAAGTAGAAAGGGAAGGCAGAATTGTAAACAGCCCAGCTAAAAGCACTGAAGGAGTGTCCCAACACAGAGTTCATCTGCAAAGACTGGAGAGTTTGTGTGTGGGAGGGGCTCCATGTAATCTCTATCGAATCACTAGCTAAGATAAATCACTTAGCTAACTAAACAGAGACATCAGTGACTACACATGACAAATTGTACAGTCTTTATTAAAATACTTTGGCAAAGTCAAACAACTACAACAAGCAGCAACCACAAACCCTACAGAGAGGGAAAATTTTCAGAGTTACTATATTATAATATTTAAAATGTTCAGTTTTCAACAAAGAAATTATGAGGCATGCAAACAAGACCCATTCACAGGAAAAACAAAAGTAGAAACTGTCCCTGAAGAAACCCAAATACCGAACTTACTAGACAAAGACTGTTTACAATTCTGCTGTCACTTTTTACCTGTACAGAGCCCAAAGGTCAGACAGAGATGAAACCTTAGGGTGTTCTCTGGTCTTTTCTAACTGCCTTCACTATGCTTAAAGAGCTAAAGGAAATCATGGGAAAAGAATGAAAGAAAACAAGGAGAATACTGTCTCATCAAATAGAAAATATCAATAAAGAGACATAAATTTTAAAACATAATCAACAAGAAATTCTAGAGTTAAAAAGTAGATTAACTAAAATAAAAAATTTAACAGCAGATGTGAGCAGGCAGAAGAAATAATCAGCAAACTTAAAGATAGAATAATTGAGATTATCCAATCTAAAGAGCAGAAAGAAAAACAATTAAGAAAAATTGGAATCCCGCACTTTGGGAGGCCGAGGTGAGTGGATTGCCTGAGCCTGTGGGTCCGAGACCCGCCTGGGCAACTTGGTGAGACCTCATCTCTACGATAAATAAAAAATTAGCCGGGCATGGTAGCATGCGCCTGTAGTTCCAGCTACTTGGAAGGCTGAGGCGGAAGGATCGCCGGAGCCCAGCAGGTCGAGGCTGCAGTGGCGGGGAGCGGCCACTACACTCCAGTCTGGGTGATAGAGTGAAACTCCAACTCGGAAAAAAAAAAAGAAAAGAAAAGAAAAATTGGGATACCATCAAGCAAACCAAATAGACATAATGGGAGTTCCAGAAGAACAGGAGTGAAGGTATGGAAAGAATATTTAAAGAATTGCCTAAAATGCTCCAAATTTGATAAAAGACATGACTTTACATAACCAAAAAGTTCAACAAATGCAGAGTAGGATAAATTCAGAAATTCACATTGACACACATTATGATACAATTGTCAAAAAACAAAGAATCTTGAAAGCAACAAGAGAAAAGTAATTCATCAAGTTCAAGGAATCCTCAATAAGATGAATAGCCAATCAGAAATCATGGTGGCCAGAAGACAGAGGAATTACATATTTAAAGTGATGGAAGAGAAACAAAAACCAAAAAACCCTGACAACCTAGAATTCTATATTGTACAAAACCATCCCTCAAAAATTAAGGCGAAATTAAGACATTCCTAGATAAACAAAAGCTGCGGGGGTTTGCTGCTGGTAGGCTTGTCCCACAGGAAACACCAGAGGGAGTCCAGGTTGAAATGAAAAGATACTAGACAGTAACTTGAAGCCATATGAAGAAATAGAGAACACTGGCAGAGCTAACCACATAAGTAAATATTAAAAAAAAATTACTGTATTTACAGTTTATAACTTTTCCGTTTTTCCTACATGGTTTAAAAGACAAATTCACAAAATGACAATTGTAAATATATGTGAATGGACACACAAGAATAAAGACGTTATTTATGACAATGACAACATAAAGTGGAGGGGAGAGAATGAAGCTCTGTAGGAGCAGAGAATTTTGTCTATCACTGAAGCTAATTTGGTGTTAACTTAAACTAGATTGTTACACATTTAAGATGTTGATTGTGTCCCCCAGAGTAACCACAAAGAAAATAGCTAAAATATACAGAAAAAATTAGAAGGGAATCAAAACCATAAATAGAAGTCAGTTAAACATTAGAAAGGCAGTAATGGAGGAATTGGGAAACAAAAAAGATCTAAGATTTATAGAAAACCAATAGCAAAATGGCAGAAGTCCTTTCTTATCAGTAATTCCTTTAAATGCAAATGGACTGAGGTCTTCAACAAAAGGCAGAGATTGGCAGAATGAAAAAAAAAAAAACATTATAATCCCTACTATGCTCCCTATAATAAATGCATTTTAGGTTCAAACATACAGCTAAAGCTGGGTGTGGCGGCATGTGCCTAAAGTTCCAGCTACTCTGGAGGCTAACGTGGGAGGATTACTTGAGACCAGGAGTTTGAGTCTAGTCTGAGAAACATAGCAAGATCCCATCTCTAAACAAACACATATACATACAACTAAGTTGAAGGTGAAAGACTGGAGAAAAACATTGCAAGTAAATGATAACTAGAAGAAATATATACTAATTACTATTAGTATATTATCTACTGATAAAAATAGACTTTAAGTAATAGACTTTATTACAGAAGACAAAGAAGGACATTATATATTGAGAAAACAGTTACTCCATTAGAGATATAACCACTATAAACATATACACATATAACAATAGATAGCTATGATATGAACACATAACGAAATATACACATGAAGTAAGACCTGACAATTGAAAAAAAGAGACTTAACACCTCACTTTTAATAATGAACAGAATAATAGGCAAAAGATGAACAAGTCTCTCTCTCTCTCTCTCTCTCTCTCTCTCTCTCTCTCTCTCTCTCTCTCTCACTCCCCCTCTCGCTTTCTCTGGCACATGAAGACACAATGAGAAAATCACAATCTATCAGTCAAGATGGTTCTCACCAGAACCCGGCCATGCCAGTCCCTTAATCTTAAACTCACAGCCTCAGGAACTGTGAGAATATGAATTTTTTTCTGTTGTCTAAACTACCCAGTTTGTGATACTTTGTTATAGCAGTCTGAGCTAAGATGGCACACAGATTTAAGTCTTTAAAGTAATAATTTTGTTCACGCCTGTAATCCCAGCACTTTGGGAGGCCAACGCTAGAGGATCACTTGAGCCCAGTACAAGACCAGCCTGGGGAACATGAGACCTGGTCTCTACAAAAAGTTTAAAAATTTGCTGGGCATGATGGCACATGCCTGTAGTCCCAGCTATTTGGGAGCCTGAGGCAGGAGGATCACTTGAGTCCAGGAGGTTAAGGCTGCAGTGAACCAGGATCATGCCACTGCACTGCAGCCTAGGTGACACAGTGAAACCCTGTCTCAAATAAATAAATAAATAAAATAGTA